TTTTTTTTTTTTTTTTTATGAGCATACATGGTTGTTAAAAAATATTCGTGCATGTATATTATTGTAAAGAAAATATTTAAATCTCCAACCCCATCGTTGTAAATGTTTATCATTTTTATAATTTTCAAATTGATTTAATCTTCCTCGAAGAATATACAAAATACAGGATAAAGTCGAATATCTGAAATTTTGTTTACTACAATGAAAATTATTATAGTCATCCGTAATTGCGCGACGTTATTTAAAGATTAAATGTAATTTTAAACTATAAAAAGTAATTAGTTATCCTTCCAATAATGTATTTTTCCTAATAGTTGTATTTAAAATAATAAATATCGCTAGATCATAAGAGTTTTACAGAATAGCAATAGAAAACTTGACATAAGAAATTGCAGGTAGTACAGAAAAATTCGACACTGTGAAATTTTCGCAAACTAATAATTTCTTATCTTCATCTGACATATAAAGGCTATTATTTATGAGATTCAGCCAATAAAACTTGCAATATCTTCTTTTTGTATATATTACTGTTTAAAAATCCAATTTTCATTTCTTTTTACACTTTGTATTTATTTCACTCATTTATTTATTCGTTTATTTTGAACAGCTATAATGAAACAAAAGTTTTCGCATGTACCGCTATTATTTTATGAATAATTTATTAGTTATATTATTTATATTTAAAGTTACCTCGTTTGATGTTCATGATGGCCAGTTTTCCCGTGACTGTTCTCATATTCAACAATTACTTCAATATTGTTGTAAGCGCATGCCCTTATCGTATATTCAGAATGGGTAAATGTCAATCAATTATTCATGGGTAAGATAGTCCGACGTCGTTGTTAATTACAGGTTTCGGTTGAATGCAAAATATAATTTCGTTGCAAAGTTTGTAATTATACCTTTGTAATTATTTATGAGTTCGACCAAAGTACGTGAAAAGAAGGGGGTGGGGGGTGGGTGGGGGAATAAGGGATGCGTATTTTGCAACTTTGTCAGTCTATAGTTCTTTTCTTTCGTGAACGGATGCGAAAGTAACTTCGTAAAGAGAATTTCATCTCATGGAAGAAATAATTCATAATTAGAAGTGTAATTATTACTGAATTTTAGTATTGATTAGAGTTGGATTTGTTAAATTGAGATGTAAAATATGACGTAATCAAAAATTACTTCTTTCTATTTTGGTAAAATTTTTAAATGTGTGGTTGTATAGTGATACTGATATTTTTGATTTTTCCTATCATATTTTCCAATTAAAATGTAAGTAGTTTTGAAAGTTTGCGTTATGTCAATTTTTTTTATTGCACGCTGTAGTCCAAAGATATTTATAGAACCGGTATTACATATGTTTGTTTCAAAACTGGAAATCTTTGATATCCGGGCAAAATTGATTGAAATTCTTGACAGAATATTGTTTGATCGCGAACAGTCGAGACATTTCCTCTTAAGTATATTTGATCTTATTTACTTAGATGTTACTTGAAATAACTAATAAGTAAAAACAATTCATTATTTTACATTATTATTGATAAATTAAAGCATGCTTCACTGATTTCAGTGATTTTTGAAGATATATTGTCAAACATTTGACTTTGAGTAATTCCTTCTTATATATATATATGCAAACTTCACTCGGCTTTAGTCCAAGGAATAAAAAAATATAAAAAAAGTTTTAAAATTTTGCTTTGACGTGAGCTTAAGTTTAGGTTAACACTGTCTCTGCAAGCATAATATCTTACACTTTGTGAATGTGATAAAAAAGGAATCTATGGAATCTATAGAAGCCGCCGTCTAACCATGGCAAGATTAAAAAAAAATAGATAAAGTTAATTAACAATTAAATAAGTTACGGCTGTAATTTCGAAAAGTGTCAGTTCCCGACTGGCGACAAAAAGTTCAAGAGGACAGAGGAGAGGAAGGGAAAATTCCAAATATATAAACTTTAAGTTCTTTATTAATTTTCGAGTTATTAATAAAAAAAACTTTCAGTTTTTAATAATAAATTATACATTAAATTCTATTTATATGAATGCTATCAAACAGCTAAGCCAACTTGTGTTTTCGTTTTTTTCTTTTTTTCTTTTTGCCTTCTTGCATTTACGAAATGAAACGTGGAGATAAGACCAGATTTATTATCGTATTGTGCTGCGTTGTCATTGTAGACGAAAAATATTACGGTAAGAAACGTAAACATTGTATTATACGCGTATTATATTTTACGACTCGTTGCTTGGTTCGACTGTTGTGATGAATGCTAGTAGAGTAGTATACTATTCTTCACGCGTCTTCTATTCTTCAAGACTCGAATTCTGTGATTAATGTCGGAAAATTACGCGTGTTTCACATACGTAGATGTATCAGTAAGGAAATTTAGAAGTTTCAGAAAATTTAGTTGCCACTAAATACGCAAGTAAATATGTAACTTAAGTAGCAACTTAAGGTGTAAACTCATCGCGTCATCGTAAATATTGTCCAAAATATATTAGATGCAAATTTAAGTGGTAACTGGAGTACAAGAGTGGTAAAAGTGATAGAAACTTTTTTATGAATATCTTGTAAACTAAAGTAGAGCGAGGTTTATACGTACGGTAGAAAGTTGCACAAAATATCACGTCCTTGATTAGATATCCTAAAAATCGTCGAAATTGACGAAGCATGCCCTGATTTGCACAGTTATCAATTACAATATTTTTTTGTTTTATTGCAAGTGAAATATATCGAAGCTTTCTTTCAATCAAATAAGTGAATTGCAGCGTGACGATTTCGCGTCCACAGATTAACACTAGGTTTACCAAGGGGTCATTTTGACCCCTCTGAGAAAACTTTTCGTTCATTTTCTTCAAGAAAATTCTTGCCGTATCTTATGAGAATATTTTAATAGACATATATAATAATCGCAAATCTAATCTTTTCTGTCTTCTGGTTTCGGAGAAATATATATAGTATATCTACTTTTACCGAAGGGGTCATTTTGACCATTCGAATTAATTTTATTATATCTGCCAGCACATTTTCATTTATTCGCTTACTTACTTTTATTCCATAATTTTATTTCATTTGGCAACACGCTTTTTCGTTTTTTTTTCCACTTTTTATGTGGATCATGTGCTGCAAAACCGGTTTCTTAGACGAGAAGCTATTGGAGAAGAAAACAACTTTGGTGGGAACTATTCGGGGAAACAGAAAAGAACTGCCGATTTGCCTCGTTTTCCAAGTTTAATTTTTTTCTTAGTTCCAAGAAAAAAATTAAAACAAAAATTATCCGAATTAATAGCATATTATAATAACACCAAGTACGGTGTTGACATGACAGACTAAATGGCTCGAAAATATACTGTAAAATCGTCATTTCAAAGATGGCCACTGCAAGTCTTTTTCAATATCCTAGATTTGGCTGGGATGAATTCGTGGATATTATATAAAGAAACCACTGGTGAAATCTATATCTAGAAAGGATTATTTGTTCCAGTTAGCAGAAGAACTTGCTGTTAATTACACAGGTTCATCTAAATCAGAAAATTGAATGAGCTTGGTGGATGCAGTTGAGAGTTCCGGAATAAGAAAAAAATGCCAAATAGGCCTTTGCAATGAAAATAAAACTCAAGTTACCTGTGGCAGTTGAAAAAGATACGTTTGTGGAGTATGTACGGAAAAGAACATTGCAATTTGTAAAAAATGCTTTACGTTAAAATACCAAAAATAATAAAAACTAATTATTTTAACTGATGTAATTTTATTGAGGTTCGTTTTTTCTACTTTAACTTCATAATAGATAGGTCAATTTATATTTTTTCTAATTAAATACCGAAAGGGGTCATTTTTACCCCTTTGATAGAAATAGGTATATGTCAACTCATGGTAAACCTAGTGTTGACAAACAACGCGATTGCGAACAACGATGTGATCTCGACACAAGAGAGACAAAAACAACAATAAATATAGAAATATCACTTTCTTTGCTCAATTCGTTGCTATCTTGTTTTTTTTTCTGCTATACGATCCCATAAATTACTTAAATTTTCATTTTATCCTCTCATCGGGTCTTCTTGTCTCTCTTGTGTGGAAATGGCGGCGCAATCATATCATTCGTGTGCATTGTGCCTAAGAAACATTGGTTTTGGCCTTTTTAGTGTAAAGCATTCGTCAACTACGAATGAACTTGAAGTCTCGACGATACGGAGAAAGTGCTGAGGAGCAGAAGGAAAAAATGATATTTTCGAGGTTCCGCAAGCAAGAAGTCTCTTTCTCGAGATTAGTTAACATTTCATAGCTTTATTACTTTATTACTTTCCACGATTGCTAATTGTTCAATACTTATTTGTATAGTTTACCATTTCGTGACAGATACTAAAATATTTTCACCATGGTATTTATACTACTCATGGTTCTCTTAACTCCGCGTATAGTACAGAAATATAGAACACCGAGGTTTTTCAGGACTTGAAATATACAAAAAGATTGCTCACGAAAGTATTCCACTATGGTGGTATTTTAATAAAGCTAAACATTTTTTATGTGATTACGTAATTTTTATATAAAAATTGACTAGCTTATAAATTAGAGTCATTTGCTTGCTCAAGTCAAATGAATTGTAATTTGTGATCGAGTATTCAGAATCGCGATCTTCGTAAGATTATAAAGAATTTTCAATTTGCAAATTTTACATTGGAAATCACACGTATTTTGTTTTTTTGAATTGTTAAACTCGATTAGATTATAAAACTCGATTAAATACGTAAAACTTCAAGGTCACGTAATCGTACATTGTATAAAAAATCGTACGTTGTAAAAATTTGATACAAATTATATTACATTGAAATTTTTACATTTGCCATTCACTTAAAAAGCTGTAGCTTTCATTAACGCAATTGAGAAAGTCATGTTGGCTATCAATAAATTCTCCACCAGCAGATTTAAATCGTGACGAGCGGCAGATTAATCATTTGTGGACCAGACACGAAACACATCATTATACACGCTATCAGAATACAGTAATAACTCAATGATCGGTTCCATTTCCTCTCTTGCGGCCAGATACTCGCGAACTTCATCGTGTGACAATTCAAACCGAGTGATAATTCAAATCTGTTACAAATAGATATTTAAAAAAATTATAATGGACCATAGAAATTAACCATACAATACCCCCTTTGTTGTCTGTAACACTATTTAAAAATATAGTTTTTGTTTTTCTTTCTTTTTACTTTACTTGAGATATATTGGTATTACTTACCAATTCTTGACTTGACAGTCACGAAAACTTATACCTACTTTACATTGCTAAATTGATCTTATTTTATTATTAATATCTAGTACTGAAAATCAAATCAAATAAAATTAAATATTAAATTCTTAAATATTAAAAATAAAATATTAAATATTAAATTCTTAAATATTAAAAATAAAATATTAAATATTAAATTAATTAAATTCTCGTAGTATAGTAAAAATTATTACAGTCTATCCATCTACGATCGCGTGGTATATTTGAGAGTTAAAAGTAATAAAAGTAACAAAATAAAAAAGAACAGGTTATCATGCAAATAATGCGATTTTTTCAAAAATTATATTTAATATATGTTACTGCGAGAGTTATATAAAATAACAATAGAAAACTTAATGCAAGAGAATAAAATTATAAGTTTTATACTCCAATTTCATTTTGTCATTTATCCTATATTTGTTATCAATACATTTCTTCAGTTTATTCATTTTCTTTCTGCTATTGACATTACACATTTTCTTAAATTTTTCACTTGATATTCCTTACTTCCACGAAATTTCACCGACGATTTCAAGACGAAATATGTATAAATCTCCTTAACTTGTTTTTAATATTTTGTTTGCTTCATCTAATATTTTTTCAAGGTACACACAGTCAGATTTCTTTAATCCTTCTAATAAAAGTTAATATAAATAACTGTTTAATTGAATTATGTGTGAACAATATTGACTAATGTTTGACTTTACACTACATAATCGCTAATTAGTGAATCAGGCTTATATACCCATCGACGGTGTGTCCGTGAATTGTTTGTAAACAATCGACAATAAATAAAGTTAAAGTCTCGATGAAACGAGAAAATATCGAAATGCAAAAGGAAAAAAATGATATGTTCAAGATTTCCTGAGAAATCATACATTTAATAAGGT